GAAAAAAGAAAGTTCTATATGTAAAAAACATGGATCTACAAAAATGAATATCAGAAATTATAACCCAATACGTAGAACTTTTTTAAATTTAAATATAGCTTGAAAAAAAAAAGTTTATAAAAAATGAAGGCGCTCTTTAAGGAAAAGACAGGCCAACTCCTCCCATGCAGTTTCCCTCTAGAAACTGCTGGAGGGCCAGCTATGAACCATTCTAACCTGAGTGTAAATACTTTTTAAAAAAGATTTATAATATTTTCAAATAAATATGTGAATTAGAACAGCATAAATGCCAGAAAAAGAGTATTGACATATAATATTGTATGGTTCTTATATTACAGGCAGAGTTGTATATCATGTGGCAATTGATCCTAGCAAGTTAAAAATTCCTCCTATGATTCTAATTGTTGTTAAGTGTCGACTGAATCAGAATGAACTCATAGTTGATCCTCCAGTGAGTTTTGAGAGGCCCACTTTTCTCCTACGGAACAGCTTATAGATATATCCAACTGTATTCTGGTTTTGGTTTTTTATTCTTTTTTTTTCACTAGTTTATTTACAAAATTCTGATACAAACTCAAATTCTTTCAATTTCCCTCACCCCACCCCACCCATCAAATTGTACAACCCAATTATTAATCCCCTCTTCTCCCTGTACATCCACATTCCTCTGCTTCCAGCCTCTCCCACCCCTCCTGGATACTTATACTCATTATACAAATAACTGTCTTATACAATATTTATCCTTGTGGGACTGAGTTAGTTCACTCAGTATAATGCTCTCCACTTCCTCCCAAGTTAAGTAATAATTTACAAAGTTATTGCTCCTGTGTTCTGTATAGTATTCCATTGTGTGAATGTACCATAATTTCTCAGTCATTAGTTTGTGGTTACAAATTCTTAGTCATTAGGCTACCAGAACTCCTTGTTATACTAGCACAGCTACTAAAATGACAAAACAAAGAATTATTGCTGATAGTCCAACAAAAGAAAAAAAAAACCACAACAAATCATAAAAAATTATATATAAAGAATGAGGATAATAGAAAAGATTAAACAGGTAGACAATAGTGAGATTTGAAGTTAAATTAATTTAACCACATTAAAAAATGTTCTGTTCATATCCTGTGCCCATTTTACGATTGGCATGTTTACTTTTATCTTATTTTGGTGATGGAATATTCCATCAATTATAGATGTAAGTGCCTTATCAGACATGTCATTACCAAATATTTTTCCCCCCAGTCTGTGGCTTTCCTTTTCACTCTGTTGGAGAAGTTTTTGATGTTCATAGGGATTTGATTCTTAGAAGATTCCATTCATCTACTTTATTTTCTCCTGGTGGCAGGTTTTTCCAGGATGCTTGGAACTGTTCAGGTTGTGGAATAGGGCCTCTAGAGTTCTTCCAAGCTTTTCTCTGATAAAATTTATAGTCCTTGGTTTATAAGTGTATAGTCCTTACAGACATTTCACCAAAGAAGATATTCAGGTGGTGAACAAACACGTGATGGAATGTTCAAAATCCCTAGCTCTAAGAGAAATGCAAATCAAAACAACTATGCGATATCATCTCACTGCAGTAACAAAAGCACAATTCAACAGAGAAGCAAACAAATGCTAGTGAGGTTGTGGAAAAACTTTAACCCCTTATTCACTTTTGGTGGTAGTGTAAAATGGTGAAACCACTCTGGAAGGCTAGTATGGCATTTTCTCAAAAAGTTGGAAATAGAAATACCTTTTGACCCAGCAATTCTACTTCTGGGAATATACCCTAAAGATATAGAACTGCCACCCAAACAGATATATCCACACCCATGTTTATTGCTGCATTGTTCACAATAGGAAAGAGATGGAAACAACCTAAGTGGCCATCAACAAATGGAGAGTGAAGCTGTGATATATTCATACAATGGAATATTATGCAGTACTGAAAAACAAGGAACTCATATTATACAAAATGGGTGACCATGGAGAATATTATGCTGAGTGGAATATCTCATTCACAAAAAAGACAAATGCTGCATAATGCCACTGTCACTGTTATAAAACAGGACTGACATGGTGGTTGGGAAGAAACTAAGAAAAGGGGATAAATAATGTACACTGCATTGAAAGAGATGAGGGAAAGAACTGTTTAAAAGGAATATATGATTCGGTATTATTTACATGACAATAATCCAGAAGAAGAGCTGTATAGCAGAATGGACTGGGGGTAGGGGGAAGGAAATTGTGCAACAATGAAAGACTTTTTTTTTCCAAAGAAAAAAGCGAACTGAGGGGTAGGATAGGGAGGAAAATGTGCAACAATGAATGAATGGAAATCCAAATTCTCTACAAACTTTGATTTAAATATAAATTAAAATGAAAAAAGAACTTAAAGAAATGTTCTAAACATCATTTGAGAGCAGAGTTGCCCACTCTGACACGTCCTCATTCTGTTTACAATTAGAAAACAGTTATACTCAGTTGAAATCAGCAGCCTACCATGTGAGCAAGGAGAGGACCTAAAAATACTAAAAGGATACATGGCAGAAATGGAATAAAGGATAATCAAGTACACTTCAATTTAAACTATATTTTATAAGAGTGTTAAGTAGTGACATAAAATAATATAACCTAACTATGAAACTGAAGAACACTTGAAGTGCTTGCTTCAGAAGAGAAAGGATTGTAGTCTTCAATATGGATTGAAGCTTAACATCAAGAAGACCAATATTCTCACCACTGGGCCAAATGGCAGCACCATGATAGATGAAGACGAGATTAAGCAGTTACAGTTTGCTTGGCTCCACAATATTCTTAACATCAGCAATCAAGAAATCAGAAGACAAATTGCACTGGGAAAATCTGCTGTCAGGGACCTCTCCAGAGTGCTGAAAAGCAACAATGTCAGTCTAGACACTAAGGTGTGCCTGATCCAAGCCATGGTCTTCATAGTTACTTGTTATACTTCAAAGAGCTGGACTAAGGATGACAGAAGAAGAATCAATGTCTTTGAGCTGTGGTGCTGGAGAAGGGTCTTGAACATAACATGAACTGCCAAGAAAACAAATAGATCTGTCCAAGAGAGGATGAAACCATGTTTCTCCTTGGAGGCTAGGATTTTGAAGCTCTGTGTCACATACTTTGGGCACATGGCCAGGAGAGACCAGTCTCTGGAGAAGGACATCATATTTGGAAGGGTGGAGGAAGAGTGCAGAAGAGGAAGAGCCCAGAAGAGATGGATTGATACAGTAACTGGGGCAATGGGAGTTTGTGTGCTAGAATTAGTGATACTAGTGCAGGACACGGAAAGATTCTGAGCTGCTATACACAAGGTTACTATGGGTCACAGACTACTCAATGGCACATAACAACAGTTGCCTAAGGTTAAGATAAAGAGTTTTGCTACCCAGTGGTAAGGAGCTGAGCTGCCAACCAGAAGGCATGCAGTTAGAATCTACCAGTGGCTTCACAAGAGGATGGGCAAGTTCTCCATATAATTTATTGCCTCTGAAAACCTGCTGGAAGGTCAGGTATGGGTTGATTTTGACATGACAGTACCCAACAACGAATACTACCAACTTGAAAGCAGCCAGTTTGAATCTGCCACCTGAGAAAAATGGGAAATATCCCTGTATAATTTATAGTTTTTGGATCAACCTGCCGGATGGTTGTCTATGAGTTGGTTCGAAATTTATAGCAACCAATTGAATTACTGACATAAATTTTATAGATAGGTTTGTCAAGAATAAGCTGTCTAAAATAATGATGTAAAATTTTAGATCAATATTTATTGAAAGTAATGTAATTGGTGATATTTCTTTACATAAAAACTCAGTGTACAGTAGTAGACTACAATGTATAACTTAATATATATTTGTGTGCGTATAAGTGTGTTTGTGGGTGTACATGCATTATTATCAATAAGAAAATTTTAGTGATTGGTTAATGAGACATTTCTCTTTTTCTTTAAACTAGTTCATATTTTAAATCATCTATATATTGTTTAACACTTTAATGATTGAACTACAAATAGTTTACTAATAGAATAAGTTTGAGAACTTTTACCAAGAATTTTTGTTTCTAAGGAAATCTTAATCAATTATGTTATCTCCTCACCCAGGAAGTACAATTTAGAGCGTGAAGATAAAAGTCAAAGGTAATTATATTAAGTAGGGCAGTATTTTGCATATTTAGTTAAGATAGTACATGATTAACTTTAAAGTTTATAGAATATACAACATTTGGGTTAATTGGTCCACCATAGTCATATGACAAAGTATAATGTGAAACATAGAAAAGAGCAAGACCTTTTCCTCAAACAATTCAAGTTAGAAATCAGAGTTCACCCTACCTTCCTGTCACTCTCTTCTCGGTTTTTACGACGTTGTTCCTCAATTCTAGCTTCTCTTTTAACATCTTCTCCAATCCTTGTCAGAAGTAACATCTCTTTTTCTTTCCATTCCTAAAGAGTACAATATTACTACACTCTGTGGGTATTCTCTTTCATAATAATATTTTTATATTTTCTGTATCACCAATAAACTACAAGACAAAGTGCTAATGCGTGATGATAATTCTATAATTGGCTTTATAATAGTTTTATATTTGGGGTTTATAATGCTACATGGTTCTTTTATCACACTAAAGCTAAATCTTAAAATGACAAAGAGAAAATATTTGGCTCAGATTAATTGTATAAATTATCAGTCTCATTATTTTACATAACAACACCTATGTTATAACTGTGACAACAGATTAATAAATGTAAATTCTTTACTGACACACCTTGACTCAAATTATTTACAAATAAAGTAAAGGTACACAGGTATTATCACTATTTTAACTGGTTAACTCTGACCTCTTCAATTTTTCTACGAAGATTAAGTTTTCTTCTCGTCTGCTCTCGCTGTTGTCTTTCTTCTTTATCTTTCTGGATTAGACGTTGTTCTTCTGCTGTGCGCTCCAGCAGGTCTAATTCTCTTCTTATCATGTCCATATATCTAAGCAAAAGTACAAAGATTAATGAAGGTTAATTTGGTACTTTCTTTATGGTACAACGAAAAGTACCTCCTTGCTTGCTTTGTATTTCTTGATCAACGGGCATTTCAAAGTTTTTAAAATCAGTCTTGTTCGAACAATTGACATTTCAGAGTTTTTAGAATTAGTTTTGTTCATAGACTTATGTCACACTAACCCACTGGTTCACTGTGTTTACTCATTCAGCAGGTCATTCTGACATTAGAATAAGATACAAAGTTGTCATTTAATCAATTAAATTCTGGGTGACCCTTCTCTGTTGCATGAGTATCTATTGTTAGGCAAAGACAATTGGTAAAATGTGGAACAGGCTGATTAAAAGCATTTTACACAGTAAGAATATGAGTTACAAAGAATGCTGAAATCAACTCAAGTGATGACTTGAAAGATGTAAAAAACCCCAGTAAATGTAAATGCAAATATTAAAAAAAATATACTGTGTTTCTTGGCAATTTTTAAGTCCTTGTCCAAATACCTCTTGGTAGTCTATATTTTAGGTAAATAGATTTTAAGCATTATAAAATAAATCAATGAAATATAACAATTAGGTAATGAAACACTATCCTAACTAATCCTTTACACCTGATGAAGGGGGCGGGCAGGAAGGGAAGACCAAGTTATCCCTTTTCTCCCTGGAGAATGGACTTGATTACACTTTGCTACAGAATCAAAATTTCTGAAAGTATTCGAATAAAGATGAATGAGCCCTATTTCTCAGACACAGCAGATGATACTGAAATTAGATAAACCTAGAACAAATAAATTTTTTAACCGTGCACTGATTTCCTCATACTTAATACTGTCAGTCCTTAAAGATGACTCCCCTCCCTCCAAAAACTACTCTTCCTTGAGGAATGAACTAAGGAAAAACTTTACTCCTTCTCTTACTGTGAAGAAAAAAATTCCATCTGATTTTTTCTTTCAGATTTCCTACCTTCTGAATTCTCAGAAGCCCTGACATCTCTGGTAGAATTAGCCCTTTCTAGATTTCCCTGGAAAATTCCAATTTCTGTATCTATCCTGTTTTCCTTTCTCTCTTCTCCAACCTGAGGAATATAGGGCTATAAGGGAGTTAAAAATTATCTTAGTACTTTTTTTCATCTTGCCTTCAATTCTTTCAGTTTTAAAATTTTACTTGGTCCACAGGATACATATTTATACTAAGGTCAATCTTACCTGTGTCTTAATAGTTCCTGGTCCTTAATAGATTGAGGACTTTCCTGTAATAACCACTTTCGGAACTGTGAAATATCAAAAACTTCAGGGAAGTGGTTGCTTTCCTGAAATTTATTTACTCTTTTTGCAAGCATCTCCTAAAAAGAGAAAATTACATGCATACATTAAGTTTATATACTGAAAATATTGAGACTTTCCAGGAAAATGTCTTTTGGTATGCCTTTTTGTATTTAGAATATAGTAAAGTTCATGTATTTTATAAATAATTAATTTTATTTAACTGCCTTTAAGAATATTTTTAAATACATTTCTGCCATCTGAACCAAATAAAGATTTAACTTTCTGAAGAGAAAAATTAGCTATTTGGTTTTATCTGTATAGCCATTAAAAAGAAATGAAACATGGAAGATAAAAATCTCCAGATACAGAGAAAGAGAAATTATTAGAAAATCACAGAATTATTGTTTTTATTATTATTTTTATTCTACACTCTTAATCTGAGGAAACATATTTTTCCATAAAGATGTAAGTCTATCTTTTTAATTTTTGCTCAGTTCTCTTGACTCTAAAACATGAATTCTTGTGAATATAACATTCATACATACACACACACATATATGACACACACAGCACCACCACCCACTTCCCCATACCCTTACCTATGAGTTACAAATCAAAAGGAGGCTACTACCTAAGTACATTCATTTTAGAATTTAGTGTTGAATAAGAAGTCAGGAAACTTTTAAATGGAAATAAAAAGTGATTATCCTATCTTGCTTCAATAATCTGCACCTTTATTAAATATACTCTCTCCACATCTTAATATTATACGTCCTCTTTACTACTGTTTTTAAAATTGAATGAGTACAAGTTGATGTTTGTGAAGGTTCAAGCAAACAGCAAACATGTTCTAGGTGTTACCTATGTTGTTGTTGTTGTTAGGTGCCATCAAGTTGTTTACGACTCCTATAGGATATGTTTTTGTTCTTGTTGTTATGTGACATTAAGTCACCTGCAACTCTCAGAGATCCTACGGCTGCTCTGAACCCTGCCCTATCCTCACTGTCTCCTACACACCTTACCCCATTACCCTGGTCACTGTGCTAATGTTACTACATCTCATCCAAGGTCTTCCTCTGTTGTCCCTCCACCCTTCCAAGCATGATGTCCTTCTCCAAGGATTGATCCCTCCTGGCCACGTGCCCAAAGTGCATGAGATGGAGCTTCCAAATCCTTTCCTCCAAAGGGCAACTTGGTTAAACTGTCTTCAGTACAGACCTGTTTGTTCTCTTGGAAGTCCAGGGTACGTTCCATACACTTCTCCAGCACCACATTCAAAGGCATACATTTTTCTGTCATTCTTATTCCTTGACCAGCTCTGTGATGCTTAATAAATAATTGCAATGATCACGGTCTGGATCAGGCTCACTTTAGTCTCTAGACTGACATCTTTATACTTCAGCATTCTGTAGAGGTCCCTGGCAGCAAACTTTCCTAATGAAATTTTTCTTTTGATTTCCTGGTTGCTGATACCAAGAATGTTGATTGTGGATCCAAACAAGCTAAAATTTTTAAGAACCTCAATCTTTTCTCCATTTATCACAGTGCTGCCAATTAGTTCAGTGGTGAGAATCTTTGTTTTCTTGCTGTTATGCTTCAATCCAGATTGAAGACTGCTGTTTTTTAACTTTCTGGATTGATGCTTCAGGTCCTCCTCAATTTCAGTGAGCAAGGTTGCATCATCTGTATAACTTCAGTTATTGATGAGTCTTCTTCTAATTCTGATGCCACATTCCTCCTCATAGAATCTTGCCTCTTGGAAGATCTGTTTCACATAAAGATTGAAAACGCATGGAGACTGACTACATCCCTGACACACTCCTTTCTTAATTTTGAACCATACAGTTTTTGCTTGCTCTGTTCTGACAACTCTTTCCTAGTCCAAGTATAGGTTTCACATGAATATGATTAGGTGTTCTGGGATTCCCATTATTTTCAAGGTTAGCCACAATGTGTTGTGATTCACACAATCAAATGTCTTTGCACAGTCAATGAAACATAGACAATCTTCTGGTACTCTGTGCTTTCAGCAAGATCCATCTGTTATTGGCAATGGTAGCCCTACTGCCACGGCCTTTTTTAACCCAGCCTGTACATCTAGTAGTTTACTTTTGATGTCCTGTTCCAGTCATTTTTTTTGGATAATTTTCAGCAAAATTTTGCTTGCATGTGATATTAGTGATCTTCTTTGATAATTACCACACTCTGTCATATCACCCTTTTTCAGAAAGGGAAAAAATATGGATCTCTTCCAGTCACCTTGCCAGGTAGCAGCTATTCATATTAATCCCTTTATAGTGCTCAAACTGCTTTGGTTTTAACTTAAAATTTAACAACCACAATACACTCTTCCTATTGGCACCAGCTTAAGCAGATTAATAACACATTTGTTCCTATCCCAAAGAAAGCTGACCCAACAGAATGTGGAAACTACAGAACAATCTCACTGATTTCGCATGCAAGCAAGATTTTACTGAAGATTATCCAAAAATGACTGGAACAGCACATCAACAGAGAACTACCAGAAGTCCAGGCTGGGTTCAGAAGGGGTTGTGGTACTAGAGATATTGTAGCTGATGTTAGATGGATCTTGGCTGAAAGCAGGGAATACCAGAGGAATGTCTATCTGTGTTTCATTGACTATGCAAAGGCATTTGACTGTGTAGATCATAACAGACTATGGCTGACTCTGAGAAGAATGGGAATCCCAGAGCGCTTGATCATTCTAATGAGAAGCTTATACTTGGACCAGGAGGCAGTCGTCAGAACAGAGCAAGGGAACACTGCATGGTTCAAAATTGGGAAGGGCGTATGCCAGGGATGCATCCTATCTCCATACCTTTTCAACCTATATGCAGAACAGATTATCCGGGAAGCTGGGCTCTATGAGGAGAAATGTGGGGTCAAGATTGGTGGACGGTTTATCAACAATCTGCGTTATGCGGATGACACAACCCTGCTTGCTGAAACTGAGGAGGACCTGAAGCGCCTGCTGCAAAGTGTCAAGGACTGCAGCCTACAATATGGATTGAGGCTCAATGTCAAGAAGACAAAGATTCTCACCACTGGACCAATTGGCAGCATCAGGATGGATGGTGAAGAGATTGAGATTGTACACAGCTTTAGTTTGCTTGGCTCCATAGTCAACAGTCTTGGTACCAGCAGGCAGGAAATTAAAAGGCGCATTGCCATGGGAAAGTCTGCTGTTAGGGACCTCTCCAAAGTGCTGAAGAGCAATGGTATCTCTTTGGAGACTAAGGTGCATCTGATACAGGCCATGGTCTTCGTAATCACCTGTTATGTATCAGAGAGTTGGACAATGACCAAGGAGGATAGAAGGAGAATTGATGCCTTCGAGCTGTGGTGCTGGAGAAGAGTATTGAGAATACCATGGACTGCTAGGAAAACAAACAGATTTGCCCTGGAAAGGGTTAAACCGGGTGGCTCCTTTGAGTCTAGGATTCTGAGGCTCCGTCTAACATACTTTGGACATGTTGTGAGGAGAGACCGGTCCTTAGAGAGGGACATCATCCTTGGGAGGGTGGAGGGACAGCGCAGGAGAGGAAGGCTCTCTATGAGGTGGATTGATTCAGTGACTAGGATAATTGGGATGGGAGTGTCAGAGACAGTGCGATTGGCACAGGACAGAGCGGAGTTTAGGGCTGTTGTACATAGGGTGGTTATGAGTCGCAGGCGACTCGACAGCACATAACAACAACAACAACAGTAGCAATTTCATTACTAAATTACATAATTTACCACTGAAAAACAAATACACATTATGACTCTATGGATCCATGTTCTCTTCTTGGTACAATGAGATAATTTTTAAATATTCTTATTTTAAATTTTTGCTTGAATTTTATATATATAAAATTAAAGGTTAGAATATTTTAAATACAAGGAACTCTTCCAAATGCTACATAAAGAAAATGAATTAAAGTATTTAACTTACTTGTTCTCTTAAATAACTTCTTTCAAAGTCTAGTTTTAAACTGGTAAGATATTGTCTGTACTTATTCCATTCCCTCAAGGAGCATATAATCTAAAATAGACAAAGCAAAAATATATGAATACATACATTTAACAATAACAGAACATACTTCCAACAATGGAAAACCAAACAAAAACCCTCCTATATTTTGAAAACATATTTTCTCTCAAAATTAATAATTTACTTTTGTTAATAATTTTCCAGAATTATCATACTCTACACCTGCTTATTATTAGGAAATTTTTATACTGATGATAATTCTTTTTAATTATAGCTTGATGGCACATAATAACAACAACAACAACCATAAATAGTATGTTAGTATGTTCAACTAAGTATTAAAACCATTCCCATGATCTTACCCTGCAAGAAGGTAGTCTATCAAGCTAAATATTTTCCTACTTTTCCATTATGATACATAAATTTTAAAAAGTAATGAGGCATAATCCTGAATGAGTGTACAATGCCATCGGAGGCAAAGAAAGAAAACTCTGATATAGCTGAGGGTATGAGATACTACCTCCCCCAACAACAACAGTCATGTTCAACACGGCAGAAATAACAAATTCTGGGGAAGTTAGAAAGAGATTAGAACATTATTGAAGGAGTCTGGTGGTTTCTCAAAAAGCTGAAAATAGAAATACCATTTGACCCAGCTCTCCCACTACTGGGAATATACTGAAAAGAAAGCAGATCCTCGACTCAAACAGATGTCTGCATACTCATATTGCCACTCACAATAGTGAAGAGATGGAGGCAGACCAATTAATTTAGAAATAATGGTTATTTAATGTCCTTGGCTGAAATCTTGAATATTTAATGGCATTTAAGAATCCTTTCAGAACTAGCTCAAAGGTAATGTAATCCTCCTCAGGAGGTTCAGAAGAAAGCTGATATTAAGTTTTGAAGGTTTTTATTGATTAACAAGAAGGAATCGTCAACCCACTTTATTATCGTTTGTGATGTAGCCACCTTTCTTTAACTTCCTTAGGATATCTTTACGCTTATAGTAATCTTTTAAATGTGGATCATGGAGACTTTTATACTGGGTTTCCAAAAGTCGACAATAAGGATCGGTCAAGTTAAAATCATAAGAAGGTCGAAAAAGCTGCAAAAAAAATCATAAATATTAAAAATACATACATTAATTTGAACATCAACATATTTAAATGACTAAAACAATACTTATTACAAGTAAAACAGGCAGGAAGTACTTGAAATAACAACATAAACTACTTAAGTTAAGCAAATTTAAGTGTCTTTTCTTTCTTCTTCCCCTATTCTAAACATTTATCTCCACGCAATTACTTCTTTATCTGTATTTCATCAGTCAGAACAGAAATACAAAGAGAAAGAAAATACAGGAATACGGTATGATTTGTTAGGAAGTATAAACCTAGTGCTAGAATTCTTTCTTTTCTTACCCTTCTCCCAGGTCAAAGCACTACATCAAAGGCAAAAAAGTTGGTAGTAACTATTATTCTATATCAATCATCTGTGAGTAAAGAAACATAATAGAAAATGTCTATAATTCATGGAAACAATATTACCAACAAATATCATAAGTAAAACTTAAGTTATAAATATTATATAGACTATTAAGGAGTTACTATATCTTACAATTTTAGCAACCCAACAATCAATGACTACAATGGAAAATTTGTATTATATAGTCATAACAACAATAACATACTATGATAGATTTGGAAGAAGGAGTGGCATCCACTTCCTAAACAACATGTCTCCGGAAACTCTATGAACTTTAATAAATGTCAATAGATGTACAGGGGCTTCAGGCCTTTTGTTCATAGGGTCGCTATGAGTCATGCTTGAGTCAAAGGAAATCAACAACAAAAACAACAGCATAGTTCAACATATTGGAGAACATAGGATAAAAAAATTACAGATATTAAGACTTCTTTATATGTGTAAAATTCACCTTTGTGTAATAATTGTTTATGTATAAAAGAAGGACCTGTGGATGAGATAGATTGACTCAATGACTAGAGCAATGGGGTAGGTATGTCAGAGACAATGAAATTGGCCCAAGATGGAGCAGGTTTCAGAGCTGTTGTACACCGGGTCACTATGAGTTGCAGGCAACTCAATGACACATAACAACAACACAATAGTCATATTTCCATGGTTGCCATTTTAGAAAAAACAGTTGGGTTCTTTAACTTCATTTTTTAATTAAAATTTCCCAAATAAGCTTTTATGATGGGAATCCTTTAAACACTTATCATTATGAAGATGATGATGATAATGGATTATGGAACCTCTGAAAAGGAAGTATAGTATGGGATAGTATGAGATAGGATAGGGATGAGAGTTGTCCTAATACCACTTTTGTAAAATTTAAAAACAATTTTTAAGCCTGTTTGTCTAGGAAGCTAGGAAAATGAAATTTAAGTTCAAAGTAATATCAAAACAGGAACTGGCTCAACTATAATACAACTACAATAGGAATAGTGCTGGGTTCACAAACTTGAGGGCAGCTGTCCTCTTGGCAGATAGACAAACCAATTTACACTACCACACAACACCTGGCGCCAAACAAGATCAGTCTGAAGGCATCATTTCGCGACCTTTATAGGTGATCCTACTGTAGCTACAATCTCAATCTAATTCCTCAGCAGAGATCCTAGGCTCAATAGAAGGGAAAATGCTTTGTTGGTAGGCAAGGGGTAGGTAGATGGAGGGAACATGATGGGATGCTGACTTTCCTTGTCTGGTAAAAGTTTCTGACTTCTTCTATCATCAGATGCTAATGCTTCTCTATGGGCATGAATCAGCAGGTTGGATTTCCTGATTACCAACGCTTTCCAAAGTTGGCAGATAGCTATCCCATAAAGCAACACTTTATCACTAGACTAGATAGAAAGTCCATATCTTTCCTTAAACAAAATAATAATTATGAGAAAAAGAGTAGATTTCTTTTTTAGATGATGACTTTTAGCTGCCAACTTATTTTAAATGTTGAAATTAAGACTATGACAAAACACTTATTTCTAGAGGTCAAATTGGTGATATTGATCAATGATTATGGAATATATTTTAAGAAAATTATTTATTACAGCAAATATAATCCTTCAATTATTAGTTAACATAAAATAATTAAAAATTGGCAGCCTAAAAGAGGAGATAAAAAACTTAACTTCATCAAGTGGATCAACCTGAAAGAAAAAGAAGGATCTCACAAAGTCAGTCCTCAGAGAGCTATTATCTGTCATGATGATGAGATGACTATTTGAAGGGAATTTATGTAAGTAAGAAGTATAGGGAACATCTGAAAAAAGGGAGTTCATGAGTGAATTGATGTTCAGCAGAGTTGAGAAAATGGCATTACAACAAACAGTATATTTGAATTAGGGATAAAGTAGAGATTAAATACATTTGCTGAAGAGACAAACAATATATTTAAGAAGAGACAAAGTAGAGTTAAGCTTCCACACTTAAGATAAGTGATATCACTAATAAATGAAATTCCTTTCAAGCATAATTTAGGAATGCTATCTTCTGTGAGTTACAACAACATACACTGTATTAGAATACAGTAAATTATGTAAAAATATAATTACTTAGACACACCTACAAAAGCTAGCTTTCCTAAATTAATGCTTGAAAGTTAATTTCATTTATTAGTGATATCATGTATATTAGTGTGTAAACTTATATCTTCTTTGTGTCTTCCTTATATATTGTTTGTCTCTTCAGCAAAAGTATTCAATATATAGATATTTTAAAAGATTTTTAAAATATATAGGTATTTAAAAAGAGAAATTGTACCAGCAACAAAGGCACTTTAAGAAATTGTGTTTCTTAGAGTATAAAATATCAAGTACCAACCAGAAGACATTTTGAATTACTTTCTGATGACATCATAGACAGTGGAGGGGTTATGGGGTCACTCAGAATTTCTTGTAGAACTTTTTATGATAGTGATCACAGTGACTACTTAAACACTTGAAATATTAATAATAAAAATTAAACCACTGCTGTTGAGTTGATGCCAACTTGTAGTGATCCTAGGTTGTTAGATGCCATCAAGTCAACTTTGACTCATAGCACCTTTATGACCAACAAACTGAAACCATGCCCTATCCTGTGCCAGCCTTTTAATCTCTATCATGCTTACTTGTACTGTTGGTGTCACTGTATCAGTCTCTCACTTTGAGGGTTTTTCCCTCTTTGGATGACCCTCTATTTTTCCAAGCATGATATCTTTTTCCAAGAACTGGCCCCACCTCACAAAATGTTCAGTGCTAAGGAGCATCCTAGTTTTACTTCCTCCAGGTCAGATTTGTTTCTTTTGCTGAGTCCGTAGCCCCATACAACAGACCAAAACTGCACCACAGGTTTCTAAGACTATAATTTTAAGGAAGCCTACTTCCACTTCTTTCTCCTGTCAATTGGCTGATGGGATCAAACCACCCTCCTTCTGGTCAGCAGAATAGTGACCATGGTTCCTGAATTACACAAGAAGAATGAACACTGACAACTAAGCTAATAGCTGGGAGGCTTGTGCTAGTAGCTTGAAGACTGGAATCATGAAAAGGTTCAGGAGATACACATTACATCCCAGTATGATTAACTTCCAGTGTGATCAAGCGTGGAGTATGCTCTGAGTGCATTCTAAATATGAAGGAAAGAGAAATCAGTTGGGGGTTTTGATATTTCTGTAAGGATTTTAAAGAAGGGTGTCTCTACGGTATGACTGGAGTGGAAATTTCAGGGTATGACAAATTTTGAGAGCCTGGGAACAATGCTACAGAAGTAGTGATAAGGTATATGTTGGTATGCATACAATACCCAAAATGAAGAAAGCCAGGCTCTGGGTTCCATAAAAGAATGGAGGGGAACTGAAGTTAGTTCTGGAGTCCAAATCATGAGGGGAGGGGCAAGTACCCAAACAAGTAACTAATTTTAACTCCACTTTTTTAAAATTTCAAATTTAGTGTGTTAAACAGAATTTGACTCTAAGCCTATTCATAAAGAAGTGTTTGTAATGAGAGTGACTACTGGTTGAAAGCCTATTAGTAGATGCTAGGCACCCCAAAAATCATCTTTCAATCAAATGTGGGATTCATTTTTTTAATTTCACTCAACTAAAAAAGCTAAAAATCTAACTGGTTTCTGATTTTGCTGATACTCAACTAGATGGAACTGTGTGGCATACACTCAGCTTATTAGGTTAAGTGGGTGTTTAATGTGTGTGTGTGTGTGTGTGTGTGTGTGTGTGTGTGAGAGCGTGTGTGAGTTGCTGAATTTAACTGCAATTAGAAAATGTCATGTTTGTAGAGTTCATTTACTAGTGACCCTCTATCATTGGGTTTCTAAGTTGTGAATCTTTAAGGAGTCTATCTTTTTTCCATTGAGATTTTAATAGGTCCCAACCACCCACTTCTTGTTAGCTGCCCAATGCTTATACTGGGGCTCCCAGCAAAAGTCAATTTCAAAATTTGTTTACCTTTTCACTTAACCTCGTTGTATAAAACACCGTATTGCTCCCCGGGATCACGGGCAGCTTGACCCCAAGAGGTAGATCCAAGAGTTGAGCTGCTCCAACTGTTGGAAAGTGGGTTTTTTGTGCTCCCTGTCGGATACAATTGGAAAATTTTTGTCTTTTCTTTTAGGAATTACTCCTTTAAATTGGGCCAAACTGCTCCAACATCTCGTAACTGGTATCTCTAAATAAACCTAACCATCATTGGTTCAGGGTTGGTGGGGCCCTGTCAGAGGGAGACCCTAGAAAAACCTCCCACTCCATGGTCACGGCCCTTCAGTGGCTCAGCCTGTCATGTCCAGCACAGACCCGAGCCAAGGCAGCTGCAAGCAGGCGCGAGAGCGACGGTTAGAGCCACATCGGCGCCCACCCGCCTCGCAGAGCCGGCCCTGCGGCCTTGCGGAGGACCTCCTGAGTGACAGGGCAGCCACTCACATCTCCACACAGTTGGCTGTCCATCGTCAGGCTGCTAGTGGCCGTCTTGGCGGCGGTGTTGGCAGGCTTGGAGCAGGCGCTGAGGTACAGCTCCATGGCTGGCCTGACTGCCCGCTGCTCACCACACTGGCCTTCCCTCGCACCCCTTCCCTGTCGAGCACCCTGTCCCAACTGGGAAGGATCACTGGCCCAGTATCTAGGGCCACACCCTCTCAGAGTTCCAGATTCTGAACTGTGGGGGCCCCAGAAAGGCTGTTTACATTCCTTGACTGCAGTTTGAGGGCCCAAGGGGCGGGGTATAACCTATCCCAGAGCCTCTTCTAGGTACACCACAGTAAAAATTCTGTCTCCCTGAAACCATCACCTCTTCATTTAAACCATCATGAATAAAGTAGGTCAGTGGCTAGCAGTCTAATTTCACAGGGCTCCTGAGGAACTATGATTAACAAACACCTGGATGTGTGCCGACCAGAGGTCCAGCTTTCCACCTCTTCCTGCCACAGATACTACGAACATTTCTTTTACAGACATCTAGATTTCTTACGGATCCATTTCCAGGTAGCATAAATTGACTGAATGTAGGCTCATTAGGGGAACCTATTAGAATGGCTGCTCTGTAGGGAGATGTGCTGCTAACCTCAAGGCTATCTGGCCTTTGGAATTCACCAGAAGCTCCATAGTAGAAAGATGGGCTATCTCTTCCTGTGAGATTTACAGCCTTGAAAACCCAATAAGGGGCCGGTTACCAGCAGATTCTGACTCGAAGCCACTGAGTGAGGAATACAGGCTAATAATTGTCATTTAGTCTTTCTTCTCTTGCTCTTTTCCCTTCACTGTTGTCTCCTTATCCCTGTCTCCCCTTCTTTATCTCCCTCTTCAATATTGATGAGTGCTTTCTCAGGACCAGTTATTCTGATAAGCACCAGGAATAAAGTATTGAATAAAACATCATCCCTGGCTTCAGGAAGCTTATTAGGCTGTCTTTGAGAGTAAAAGTAGTTTGAACTTAGCCTCATGGACTCTGATCCATTTCTCTTATTTAGAGACCCTTTAATAAATACAGTCCCTGTATTTACTAAATACACTAAATGAAGTATAAACACTTTCCCTCTAGTAAAAGAACTAGACTCTTTAATAAAGGGTCTGGTGATTTCTTGACCCTGTGGTAAGTATAGCTACCATATACTGAAAATTTACTCCACAAGTTGTGCTAAACATTCACCTGAATTAATCATCGTAACATTCTTTCCTGTAATTCCCACTGTTTGCAGAGATAGAGGAAGAATGATAATCACTGGTAAGGGGTGACCTGACACCCTATTTTACCTGCTCTGTTTGTTTCAGTGCCATTTACATGTTTTGTTGTTGCTGTTGTTAGGTTTCTGCTGGTGTAGTTGGCTCCAAGTCTTCAGCAATCCAATGAAACTTTACCTAGGCCTGGGCCTATGTTCATAACCATCACCATATTTTAGACCTTCATTGTAGCCACTTGAAAGTCTGTAACTAGGTGTTTTCTCTTACAGAACAGCTGATAGGTTCCAATCATGATATTACAATAACAGCCAAGCATACAATCATTGTGCCACATTAAAAAAAAATATCCCCAAAACAAAATAATAAAAAACCCTCAAACAACAAGCCTCCTAAATTAAAAATTCACTTACATTCTTTTGGCAATCAAAAGACAAATTACTCTGGGAAAATCTGCTGTCAGAGACCTCTCCAGAGTACTAAGAAGCAACAATGTCAGTATAGAGACTAAGGTGCGCCTGATTCAGGCTATGGTCTTCACAGTTACTTTCTATGCATCAGAGAGCTGGACAATGACTAAAGATGACAGAAGAAGAATCAATGCCTTTGAATTGTGGTGCTGGAGAAGAGTCTTGAACATACCATTTACCACCACAAAAACAAATCTAATTTGGAGACAGTGAAACCAAGTCTCCTTGAAGGCTAGGATTTTGAAGCTCTGTCTCACATACTTTGGACATGTGGCCAGAAGAGACTGGGACTTAGAGAAGGACATCACTCTTGGTGGAGTGGAAGGACAGGAAAGGAAGACCTCAGATTAGACAGATTGACAAAGTAACTGGAATAATGGAGATAGATGTGTAGGAATTAGGAATACTGGCTCAGAATAGAGTAGGCTTCAGAGCTGTTGTACATGGAGTTGCAATGAGTTGCAGGTGACTCAGCAGCACATAACAACAAGAACATTTTGGTTGTGTTAAAACTGTAGTTGCAGACATGATGTTTCCCATGAGAACAGTGAGTTGTCCTTACATATTATCAGATTTATTATCCACTAACTATTCCACAGAAGAAAAATGGGAAATCTCCTGTGTGATATGCTGCTTCTGAAAACTTGCTAGAGGTTTCCGACTCAACAGTACCTGACAACATTATCAGATCTAGTGGAGTAGTGGAGGTCAGCATGCTGAATGGAGCAGTCATGGGTATTCCTGTACCTGATACTGATAACCTACTGATCTTAACATTTGGCTAGAGTCACAAAGAACTTTATGCGAAGCTATGGTTTTAATTGGATTATGAGGAAAAGCCTAGGTTTCAACTGGATGTAGTTGACTTTGTTATCTGTCACACTATATAAGAAGTAGTAGTAACAAGGGGAAGGCTGAGTCTGACTTCTACCATCTTCATAAATGGGAACTTTCTACATTAATAACATCCATAGTTCTAAACAAATATTTACATGGCCAGACATACCACTGTCTCTATACTGATGCAAAAAATATCGCATAATGCAAGTCCAGAAGTCCCAAAACAGATTAACATCAAGACACAATTCCTCAATTAGTTCAGACAGCTTCTCAGCCTATTACAATTGAAAGTTTAGGTTCAGGTCAGCAGCATAAGTAAACCTCTGGTTTCCTCAATCATTCATCAAACTTTCCCTCAGAACAGTTACAAGTAAGCTGTTTCTTCAGCCATCCAGCAAGTAAGTCCTTTAACTATGGCTCCATTTCCAGGGTTCCTCTGGCCATATTTTACCATAGTCTCTTTACAGCAGTGCCACACTCCCTTCACTGTCTGCCACAGTTTCTTCACTCTCCCTCCATCATAATTTTCCCCAGTTTGGAAAGTACTTTCTTATGTTGATCCCACAGCTGATGATGATTTGCAAATGTAGCAGAAGACCATGACCTCAATGGAGGCTAACACAATAGATAAAAAAGTCAATTTTCAAGGTTTCTGGCACCACACACACAATTTAGCATCAGAGGAGAGTAATCTTGGTTTCTGTGAAACATTTACACAAATGACATACTTAACAAGCTGTGCTGCAGTGATCTTGACTGCACATCAGCCTCCACTAAGCTCATTTGTCATGCTTCCAGCATGACAGTAGTTTTCTTGCTACATATTTAGCTCTTAGCCACTTCATATTTCCAAAGATAATTCATATACTTTATATCTTTTGTTTGTTGTTGTTGGCTTATTTTTTAAATAATGTAGTAGAATGTCTATCTGTGTTTCATTGATTATGCAAAGGCATTTGACTGTGTGGATCATAACAAACTGTGGCTGACTCTGAGAAGAATGGGAATCCCAGAACATTTAATTGTGCTAATATGAAACCTATACTTGGACCAAGAGGCAGTAGTCAGAACAGAGCAGGGTAACACTGCATGGTTCAAAATAGGGAAGGGTGTACGCCAGGGATGCATCCTTTCTCCATACCTTTTCAACATGTATGCAGAGCAGATTATTCGAGAGGCTGGGCTCTATGAGAATTGTGGCATCAGGATTGGTGGAAGATCTATTAACAATCTCCGTTATGCAGATGACACAACCTTGCTTGCTGAAACTGAGGAGGACCTCATGCACTTGCTGTGAAGGGTCAAGGACTGCAGCCTTCAGTATGGACTAAGGCTCAACATCAAGAAGACAAAGATTCTTGCCACTGGACCAATTGGCAGCGTCAGGATGGATGATGAAGAGATTGAGAGTGTTCACAGCTTCACTTTGCTCGGCTCCACAGTCAACACTCTTGGTACCAGCAGTCAGGAAATCAAAAAGCGTATCGCGATGGGAAAGTCTGCCGTTAGTGACCTCTCAAAGGTACTCAGGAGCAACAGTGTCTCTCTGGAGACTAAGGTGCGCCTGATACAGGCCATGGTATTTGCAATCGCTTGTTATGCATCAGAGAGTTGGACAATGACTAGGGAGGACAGAAGGAGAGTGGATGCTTTTGAGCTGCAGTGCTGGAGAAGGGTACTGAATGTACCATGGAATGCCAGGAAAACAAACAGATTCATCTTGGAGAGGATTAAACCAGGCTGCTCCTTGGAGGCAAGGATTCTGGGGCTTCGTCTGACATACTTTGGACATGTTGCCAGGAGGGACGGGTCCTTGGAGAGGGACATCATGCTTGGGAGGGTGGAGGGACAGCGCAGGAGGGGAAGACCCTCTATGAGATGGACTGATTCGGTGACTGGAGTAATCGGGATGGGTGTGTCAGAGGCGGTGTGGTTGGCGCTGGATAGAGCAGGTTTTAGAGCTGTTGTGCATAGGGTCGCTATGAGTCGGAAAGGACTCGATGGCACATAACAACAACAGTCTTTGTTTACAAAACAGTTGGCTCAAATCATAGGGCTGGTCAACAATAATGATTTTGTGATTTGCAGAGCAGAAGGCAGTTCTTTCAATACAAGGTTGGTTGATCCAGGACAACACCAGGTATATGGGTTTCAACTGTCACGGCTGGAGTCTCAGGGTTGCTTTCTCTATGTGTTATTTTATTATCCATTAGTTTTTAGAAGAGAAAAACAGCAATCATAAATTTTATGGAATGAGACACTTTTAAAAATGAAGTATTAGCACTGTCTGGATCACCTTCAAGTTGTATACAAATGAGAACATCACGGTGGTGAAGATCATCCTGGACGTGTCCCTATTCCAGGAGTAACTTGTTCACACAATTCTCCATTGCACTTGTCTTTGGAGCCTAACATTTTTGGAAGTATGATGCCTAAACCTCGTAAATGAAATCATTTGACCTCAGAAAATTTTATACATTTTCTATGCTTCTTCCTCTGCAGTTGCACAGCCAGCACAAGTACATTTGACATGCAAATTTCAGCCCTTGTTACCAAAAAATA